CACCAGGCTAGCTGCTGCGTTCTGGATTAGTTGTAGTTTCCAGGTCACCTTCAAAGGTAGTCCCATGTAGAATACATTGCAGTAGTCCAAGCTGGAGATAACTAGATCATGCACCACTCTGGCGAGACAGTTCGCGGGTAGATAGGGTCTCAGCCTGCGTACCAGATGGAGCTGGAAAACAGCTGCCCTGGACACAGAATTGACCTGCACCTCCATGGACAACTGTGAGTCCAAAATGACTTCCAGGCTGCACACCTGGTCCTTCAGGGGCACAGTTACCCCATTCAGGACCAGTGAGTCCACCACACCTGCCCGCCCCCTGTTCCCAAAAACAGTACTTCTGTCTTGTCAGGATTCAACCCCAATCTGTTAACCACCATTCATCCTCCTAGCATCTCCAGACACTCACACAGGACATTCAACACCTTTACTGGTTCCGATTTAAAGGAGAGATAGAGACCAAAAAGACAACAAAACTAAACACTTTTATGTACTCAGAAAAAAGCAAACATACAAATTTTGAGTGAGGAACGCATCTTATAAAGTAATGCACTTTCTCAAAAGAGAAAATAATTCTACAGGATTTTATTTTATTTTTGTATCCCCCCCAAAATAGGAAGAGGAAGAGGAAGTCCTTGGTTGGGTACGGGAACTCCTGTCCTTCAAAATTTTCCTCCTTCCCCGCTCCCCTCAGATTTTCTATTCTCAAAAGACTTCAAAGAGATATTTTTACTCTAAGGGAGCAATTTTCAACATCCCTTCAACTAGAGATAATTCTAGAGACAAGAGATTATTATTCCATTGTGCCCTTTCAGTTGCATCCCAAGAGTTCAACAATTCTGGAATCCCTACAGCTACAGTGTTCTTTGATAGCAGAAATGTGGCTTAGGAGCAAGGCATTTAATGGAAAATGAGTTAGAGCTAGTCCACTATAGTCAGTCCATGGAAGAAAGGCAGCAGACTGTGGAGAGTAATAGGTGAAAAGGTCTGGGGAGGGAGCAGGTGCAGGTCAACAGCAAGGATAGAATTCAGGGCATCAGTAGATGGTGCTCTGTCCTGTTCACTGCTATTTAAAGGTGCATGCTGTAAATATGGGGTGCTGTCCAGAAGTTGCTAGGCTGTGACTCCTATGGCTGATGGTCACAGATCAGGCTTGTAGTCCAGCAAAGTCTGGGGGGGGCACAGCATCGGGCACCCCTACTGTAAACAGTGGAATGCAGGTCAGTGGCTATGTGCATATCATGCACACACACACACACACACACACACACACCATAAAGGGAAGTGAGATAGGGAATACGGAATTTAAGAGAGAGGGGGTTAGAAATGCTCTTCAAGAACATTCAATTATCTAAAGCACAAACACACAAACACACACCCCAAAACAAGAAGGTATGAAGATGGTGCTAAATCAAGGCAGGGATGGGTGGGAGAAAACAAAGAACTGGCTCCTGTTGTTCTGCCATGAACAAAGGCAACATGATGGTACCGATAAAAGCTCAAAGAAAATTAAATACCAAGAACGATTGGGCTGAGCCAAGCAATAACATGCACAGGGGGATTCTGAGTTATGGCTGAAACTGTGGCTTTAATTAAGCCCAGTTGTAGCTGCATTGGGGATTGTTAAAAATCAACACAAAGGCTGCTAACATTTGTTTAGCAGTCTATGGAAAGTTTCCAGGTATTCCTCTTAAAAAGATATGAGCAAGAATTGAGCCATCACTGCAATTGCCACCAGCATAGGTACTGTGGCAAATCCAAGGGGCTGCACACTGCTCCCGTGGTCAATAATTGCATGCATACTGTATACACACAACCCAAATTCCAATGTATCTTCTGGGAACAGTATCTGTCAGTCTAAGGATGCTCCATCTCAGAGTATTTTAGCCCCAAATGCTCTCTTTCAGTACCTTTAGATGTCTACATGCCCCTGTTCCCCTCACCCACCTGTACAGAAAAAACCCACAGAGAATCTCAGACCGTGTGCAGGAAGTTAATAAAGACACCATAAATGCACTCCATGCCTTCTCCTCAGCTGAACTTAATGCACAGTGCAGAGCTCATCATGTTCACATATGAAATGCGGTTAGTATACAATCTGAAAACTTCCAGCACCAACTGGGCTCCAACAGTGCATAGCACAACAACCCTACATTGTTGCACGGCAACACAAATACCTACTGTGTGGGAGAAGGAACTTTAGTTCCACCCTGCATTTGACACAACCTCTTGAAGGCCTCTCACAGACACCTGAGATCCAGGCTGCAAATTGTGGAGCAATCAAAGTAGAGCTTGCAACTTTGAGGCCTGCTGTCTAGATCCATGCCCATCACCAGCATTGAAGGTTGCAAGGGTTACCTGGATGTCCGAAGTAAGTGGATGTCCTTGAGGGAGTGGGTGGTCTCTGAAGAAAGCAGTGGGCAGTCCCTTGCTAATGAAAACAAGCCTAGATCCTGCTGAACATATAACAACCACACACTCTTTAATCTTCCCTGTTAGGGAAAATATTAGAGAGGAAGGTCGCCTCTCAACTCCAGGTAATTTTGAAGGAAACCAATCATTTAGGATCTTTCCAGTCCATGCCACCCTTGCTTTTGGACAGAAACAGTCTCAGTTACGTGGATACACGAAGGAATGGGCAATGGAAGTTCAACCATATTGGTCTTGCTAGACTTCTCAGTGGCTTTTGTTCTTGTTGAGCTTGGTATCCTTCTGGAATGACCAGAGAGGGCTGGTCTTAGTAGGTCTTGATGTTTCAGTGACTCCAGTCCTTTCTGGATGGCTGATTCCAGAAGGTAGTGCTGAATGAGTCTTGTTAATCTCCATGATCTTTGGTGCGTGAATGCTGCAGGGTTCCATTTTGTCTTCTGTGCTTTATAATATCTATATGAAAATGCTGGAAGAAATCATTTTCCACCATCAAATCCCAGGGAGGCTGTGGAACCTTTGATCTGGAGATAGCATTGGGGTGGATGAAGGTGGAACAGCTGAATCTTAATCCAGACAAGGCGGTGAGGGTGAACAAGCAAGAACTTGATTCAGACACGATGGTGGTATTGTGGGTTGGGAAGTTGGCAATTGTGGATGGAGTTATGATGCCTGGTCTGGATGCACTGCACTCCTCTTGAAGAACTATGTGTGTAGCTTGCGGGTGCTCCTGAACCTGTCACAATCTTGGTACAGCTGCTGTGGAATTAACCATAGTGGTTGACCCTGACTAGAGTTACCCAGGTCCTAGTTATCGCCAAACTGCCCAAGGAAACTCTTCCAAATGGATTACACTTGGTTCTTCAAGTGCTTTCCTTAATGTGAGTTTGGTTATGTGATTCTCAGCTGCTTTTGAATTCAGTTGGACTTAAAAAACCAAGATGCTGCTTCATGATAATTTATATTACTTGGTGTGTCGATGATATTCATGTGTACAGCTATCACTTTGTGAGGGCATAACACCGAAATGTGGCCTATAACCCTGTTAAGTAAATAAAGGTCCAGAGGATTGCAAAACTCAGCTTTAAACTGCTGCTTAGCAACGTGCTTACAGGTTGGCCTGGTCAAGTCAACAGAAGCACTCAGTTCTCCATCTGTAAAATGGGAACAACATTAAGCTCCCTCTCAAGGTTGACAGACATGATGGCAATTGCAAAGCATTTTGGAGTACGGAAAATTGTGATTGGTTAAATAATAATAGCAATAACTGGACTAGAGGAATTATACAGCAATGGAGTGGCATGTCAACAAACCACAATGTCTAACTACTTGAGAGACCTCTGGCTTATCCTCTACCTTTCTTACCAGGGATCAGAGAATCCAATCCATTCCACTCTGTGATTGTTGGACTTCATTATAGATCCTGGCTGTTCAAGGGAGACAAATGGTTCCAGTGGCCTCTGGATTAGTGTCTTTAGAATAGTGCACCCCCAGTTGGGCGGAGCTGCAGCAATAGCATCCCAGCAGACATATCACTGATGGGAGGGAGAGGGTTGAGGTGACAGCAAGATTGGGGCTGTGCAAAGGCACTTGCAGGAGTGCTGGATTGACTCCACTCACACAGCCCTGACCTCACGATCACCTCACCGCTCCTGCTCCCAGTAAACAGCAGAGCCACCACTGCCAGGAGGCTACTGCTGGCGGTTCTGCCCCACCAGGCAGGCTGCTCCTGTTGCAGAACTCTGAAAGCCAACCACAGGATATGAAAACCATCTTTAAAATATATGACACCTAGCTTTAGTGGTCTTACACAACCTCCCAAGACTATTTGCATACCTAGGGCAATTTTCCATACCGGGAATAATCAATGGTCTCTCGACCGTTCACCTAGTGAGAATTAAAGTTCCATATCTTTGCGAACAATCTTTGGTAGGTTGGGCTGGCTTTGATGAGACCGCTGCAGGATAAATGGTTAGTGGGCCACAGCTATTGTGCTTAAACGAATGCTCTTAAAATCAATTCCATTCTTCTTTCAAGGCACCGCTTCTTGGTTTCTGTGCTCCCTTTAATACAAGTTGTTATTGCCCAATCTCCACAAGCTATGGAAGGTTGGTTATAAAATAAGCACAGGCAATGCTTTCCTTAATAAATTTGTTCTGAACACCCACTTGTGGGTTATTTATTTAATTTGACGTATTGTGATGCTTTTGCCAAAGCCTTCGCCCACATCTGAATATACGAGTATAGTAATAATTAAAGGTTTTGGTTTGTTTTGTAAATAAAAAACAACAACCCACTTTGGTTTCTCAAAGCGTTGACATCTACATGACTTCAGTTTCACTCATGTGTCAAATGTAGTTCAAAGACAGTCTGCACATTTATTTTGTTTGCTTCACCTAGGAATTGTCATTATCACAGTCTACAAAACATTAACTTTTTTTTTCCATGGCAGAAAAAGAACACATCTGGAAGAAGCCAAGATCCCATGTACCTACATAAGCAAATCCACCACATAACCATTTCTCCTTCCCCCTCCCTGCCAGAAATCCAACTGTCAGAATTTACATCCTTACCTGCTGGGTAGCGTTCTATAACTGGCCAGTTGTCCACCTGTAATGTGGCATTACCACCACTTCTTGTGAAACGTACTACGTGATATTTCCCATCATTAATGATTGCGTTGACCTCTTCAATTGCGATATCATCTGTTCCAACATTAAATTTAACTCCAATTTTTCCTTGGTGCTGTAAAGAAAAGCAAACGACAGAAACAACATGGTTAATCAGAAGCCCATTTAAAAAACCAAAACACTTTTAGGTGCAGTATTATACAGATAAAACATCCTGAAGATATCTTTTAACTTCTTCAGGACATGTGGCGGTAAGAATCCTCTGGACCAGGACTGAACAATTTGTGATTGGGAATGGAGAAAACTTGTTTCTATACAAACAAGGAATTCTATGTTTCCAGTCATAACCCTTTGCTCATTCAACTTTATTGACTTAGAAACTATGAACCAAGGATAACCACCATACGGTTGTTTACATGAACAGAGACCCTGTGCACAAGTCAACATCTCTTGACCTGGCCTGAAGGTTATTCATTTCTTTTCATTCATTTCAACCACTGATTCACCCCCTTGACAACACAGGGCAAACAGAGACGGAAGTGAGTTTCTTGGTTCTTATGCCTAGGATAAATGACTTTGTAAGGAGACTGTGCAGTTTTATAAAACAGGAAGATACTGAAAAGCAAAACATAGTCTAAGGTGCTTCTTGGGGTATTGGGTCAGAACTCCACTCCAAAACTTGAAGCTAGTTGAAATTCATTGGGAAACTTAAATCGCTCTGCTAAGGATACTGAAAGCCAGATCTTAGTGGTTTGGCAGCAAAGTCACACAGGACCAGATCAAATAGCGCCTGTCCCTGCATCAACCCATAAACATGATAGGATGAAACATGTGTATTGCCCCTCTTCCCCTCCTGCCTGATTCTCTTGCCCAGCCTTCAGTGTCTTTGGGTGTTCAGTAGCATTCAAACAGGGCTTCCTTATGAAAAATCCGGTGCAAGTGGGATCATTGCACATGAGCGATATTCCAGAAAAATATCCAGGGACTGACCATGAAATCAAGTCCTATTCAATAGTTATGCCCTAGCGAGAATACTGGAGATGGCCTGGGTGTCCCAGAAGGCATAGAAAGAAGGGATGACGCTCTCTCTGTGGCAGCTTTCCTCATCATGGTTCCTTCCGTATGCTTTGGACTACAACTTCCATCATCCTTGACCCTTGACTCCGCTGGCTGGGGTTGATGGGACTTGTAGTCAGAAACATCTGGCAGGCACCAGGGTGAGAAAGTCGCTTGATATAGCACTCATGAGATACTTGCAATATGACCAATGGATCTTAAGCGAGCAGAGGAACTAAGAGTCAGCCATGAAAGGACAAAATTCTTTCATCTCTAATTAAAGCAACAACAACAACACAGAACTGTAGTGGTATCAGTGGAAATAGCTGATTTATCTACGAACAACATTGCCCCTTCTCCGAGACAAGTATCCACTCCAAATGCTATTATCCATTTTAATTATTATTGAAAAAGCATCCGTAACGTGGCATTTATAGCTTAATGAAGTATCTTGCCATGTTCATTTAAAAATACTGACTAAAGCAATTATTGATTTCTGGTTCCACAGAAGACAGGCGAAATGCTTCATTTCTGAATAATGACTCATATAAAACTAAAATGAGAAAGAAGCAACGTCGCAGAGCGTGTGTTAGGGGGGAAAAAAGGAAGAAAAGGAAGAGGTTACTGCTGGAGCCTGACTAAATAAATGATACTGCTGCATCCTAATTCTAGAAATGTGTTGTGGCTGCCATTGAAATGTCCTCGGGTTCAGGAACAGATAGAAAAATTCTTCATTTTAGTAAAAAATAATAATTCCTTATTCGACAACCTCTTGATCTTTTCTCTCTCTCACTGCAAAATCTTTTTTCATCTCTAATGTAAGATCACATAGCTCTAATACCCACATAGCTACATAGATCTGCTTCTGCACAGCCCACAATGTGGAACAGTCTCTCTGGAACAGTCTTCCCCCAGAAATAAGGCGAATACATTTTTCTGACACATGCTGAAAATATTTCAGTTCACCATGACTTTTGCTGGCTATTGATGTATGCCACTGTACAACTTTGTTTTGTTTTTTAACTTATTGAACACACCAAGGCTTACTTCTGAGTAGACAGGCATAGGATCACCCTATTCAAGTTACTTCTTGTTCATATTCAATCCCCAAACCAAACTGCTTGAGAACGTGCATTTCCCCCGACATTTCTTAAAAGTTAACTGACAAATTGTGCAATTCACATGTTTTAATCACCCACTTACTCTGCTATTCATATTCAACAGAAAATGTACAAAATGCTAAATTGCTCTTGTGATGTAGCAATCACCCCTTTCACAAAATTATTAAACATACAAGAACTTTTCTAAAGGCACGTGACTCTAAAACACATGTACTTTACTCAAAGTTTTCCCTTCTGAAATCAAATGCTTTGACATAACCCCCCCCCCCAAACAAAAACCTAGCTGATTTTTTATGATGGTCGATAATCACAGTATTCACACACACAGCAATGCTTTCCCTACTTGCCTTCATTTGAGTCCTATGTACAATTTTACAAATAGAGGGAAAAGAAGCAAAACACCTTTTACATAAAATTGAGCAGGTGCATGCAAATGATTTTAACCAGACACATGTCAGAGCTCTTATGTGGAAAGAAGAAGGAGAGAGAGGAGGAGAGGAGAGAGGAGGAGAGGAGGAGGAGAAGAGAGGAGGAGGGCCAACAGAACAGAAAAACTGAAAATCAATCCAAGGGTGCATGAAAATAATTTTGGTTGAAAAATAAGCAATGTTTCTCTGTTCTACATGTAATTCCTCAGTTCTTTGGAGAACTTCATAATGACCCATATGGTGAGTGAATATGGACTGAAGAGGGGTCCCTTGACCTAGACAACTGTCTGCAAAGGTGGAGAGAAGATTCATATCTTCTTTCTAATAATAAGTACACAAGGAGATTTTACAAGTTGTAGTCCTACAACAACCGGAGGAAACCACATTGGCTCTCCTTGCACAAAGGCACCCATTCTTTCTGTATCCTGCCTGCATGAGTAGACATGCTCATCCTTCTGAGCTCAAAATTGGTGGCTAATCAGTAGGCTTTCTTGCTGTGTTTTGGAAAGACACACACACATTTCTCCAGTCAAGAACCGTAATGAAGAGACAGAAAGCCTGCAAGCTCAATAACAGAGCATCTGCCTTGCATGCAAAAAGTCGCTGGTTCAATCCCTGATATCCAGGAGTTGCCAGTGGGGTGGCCTTCTTCACCTGCCTTCTGAGTGAGGAGCATCTCTACTGGTTCCTGAGATTGGTGAGCTCGGCATGGTCCAGACAAAGCAACAGGAGCATCAGATTGTGGACTGCTGCGTTCACACCGTGCTGAGCTTCCCACACCTCTCCTATTCATCAACCTGCAGCAAGTCTTGGGATTTGGGAAGACAGGTGAGCAATGCCACCTTACCTGAGCTGACCCACCATCCACTACTGCTGGCATCTTCAGCACCCTGGAGAGCTACTTCCAGTCAACGTAGACCACACTGAACTAGATTAACCAATGGTCTGGCTCAATATAAGCCTGCTTCCTGTACATTGAGCTGGTCTAAAAGCACATTACTTTACAAATGATGTCCCTATTTTCATTGGAGAAATGTTGGAGGGTATGAAAATGGCAAGTTCTGGGCCAGGAGAAAAAGTCATTGAAACTAGTACAAATTAGAAGAACAGAACGCAGCATAACATTCTGAAACTGTGCAAAAAGCAGTGGGCTCCAGAGATCTAGCACTTTGGGTTTGTCATTTTTCCATTTGACTTTTAGTCATTGGATTAGATCCCCAAAAAGGTGCCCATCATGGAAGACCCTTTCATGAGCAAGAGGATATCCTGGACTCCATCTCATTGGGTTGATGGCCTCCTGCCTCCTAAATTGTCTCATTTTTGCACATTCATTTTATGCTGGGCAATTTGTGCTTCTGCTGGCTTTTGAGTACCTTTATGAAGCAAATGTTTTAGATGGCTTTAATTTCTACCAAATTGGTTACGCCTTGATGCGCATTTTGTAAGCCACTTTGTGGCTTTAAAAGTGGGATATAACCCCGTTAAATAATAAATGAATGCATGCTAGGAAATTTCCTCCTCTCGATAAATTTTCATGGTATATTAAAAAGGAAAGACTAATTAATTCTAATCCTAACGGTGGGTGGAGCAGGGTAAAACAGATTGATCAAACATGCACTAAAAATGCCGTTTCTGCTTCTTAACCCTGACAAGCCTCAAAAGAATAATAAAGTACAGTCATAAAATATGGTGCTTAAACTGCCGCTAACTGTTACTTTTCTCCCCAAAGTTATCTGATTTCTCTGCCAAATTAAGTACAATGTAGAAGGCATTTTCCCGTGAAGCATAAAAAAAAACCCCAAGTTAGATTGAGGTGTCACTATCAGCTGCTGTTTACAGAACAAGGCATACATATTCCAGAATTAATCAGAGGAGGGTTAGAGCTGAACCCCAGATTTGCAAAATCTCAAAAATCAGACAAATAATAATAATAATTATTTATTATTTATACCTTCAAGGAAGGAGACTCCACAACTTCCCGAGGGAGACTGTTCCACAGCTGAACAGCTCTCAGTCAATGTAACCCAACTTCTTTAAAAAACCCACAAGTTTTGACCCTGATTCCAATAGGAGGTGGATTGCAAGCAACTTCAGTAAAAGAGTAAATACACAGTCTTGCCCTCATAGGCAGGGCTACCAAAAGTCCATTACAGATCCACCTAGTGCCTTCTACATTCTTTCAAGTTTTGATCTTCATTCTACAGGTTCTGTCCTTTCTCACCCTCTCCCATTCCCCCCAACCCCTGTTCCATTAATGAATCAATATTTTTTAAAATTTAAAGTTGAAATGAGCCTGAAAGAAAAAAAAAATAAGAATCCTCATGCTCTTTCCTCTGACTTCTGAGAGAATATAGTTACTAATATCTAATCTTTTCATTAAATTTATCCCTGTGCTGAAGACTCATTTGTTACTTAAGCTCCATTTGGGGGGTCAGAAAATTGGCCTGAAGAGCAATTTAAGTCATGCACAAGCTTTCTGTCATCATTATGACCTAGGTAGGATGCAGGTA